ATAATAACTCTGAGCATGGGACGAGGGGATGAATATCCTTTATAGAGAATCTGCTGTGAGATGTTTTTGAGATGGTCTTAAAACCCCACATTCACAAGTGAATGGTGTTTTGATTACGTTGACAACTTAAAATCCCAATTTAACTACCCTTTCTTTGTTGACTGCATTCCCCATATACTGTCTTACATATACATCTTATGTCGTCCAACCATCTCCATGGTCCAACTCAACTATTCAAGATGGCTGTGCGCCCAGTGTATTTGAATAGGTCTGGTATTATAGACTAGACCAGTGCGAATTTATATTGTAAATTAGACCATGTGACAGGCCCAGACGGATGGCGACTAACAGGTATGATATCGTGCAAAAATAAATACCTGCTGTACGTCTAATCATGGAGGAAGCTATTTTTTCTTCTATGGGCTAATCATGTTTTACCCTGAGAGATCTAACTAGCATTTTAATAATTAAGGATGCATTTTCAATCTTTCCTGCATGAAAATAACAAATTTTATATTGAGTAGGCCTATTATAGTTTTCTTTTTAAATCCGGAGGCACAAATTTAGTCGGGACCCGTCAACAAATGCTATTGATAAATAAATGATAAACAAAAAAACTTGTTTCACCATTATCGACATTTAGTAGTGTATGACCTTTGATAACAATATACATGACATGTTTCGCATTGTTAATGTTGCTGAAAATTGGGTAAACACAGCACGCTGCGGTAGGGGCTAGGCCTAATCATAGTCGCTTTTCTGTTTGATAACTCTTTGTGCGCCGACAACTTGTTAATAAAATATGCTGCGTCAACAAACAAGTTACAACCATGGTTACAGCATGCACGCAAAGATCGTACGTGGCGGATACCCTACGCGGCGCTATTTACACGATCTTTTGTTACTTTTTCGCCAGTGACGTCATAGTAAAATCGTATATAATCGCCTATAACTTCATTATAAAAAGGCCAAAAAACGATTTTAAGGTTGATTCTATTATTAATGGCATATCAAAAATCCTCTCTAGAACAAAAAATCATTTTGCTAGTTCTCTTTTAAGCCGTCGTGAGAAATATTAAACACGGTTAATATTCTAATACGCGACTGCCCCCGACGCACACCATCGCGTCTGCGTTCAACTCACACAGACCCGACGCGACAACAAATCGCGTCGGGCTGCGTCGGCCGACGCTGTCTGAGTTGGCCTTTACAGTGTACAACAAAACAAAGAATGAATAGGTGTGTCGTAATTCCTCAGGAAAATCTATTGTTTAGGGAATAAAAGATAAAAGTCTGTAAATAATTCTTTGAAAAGTATTTTTACCACCATATCTGAGAGTGCCATTCAGAGTGTCTGGAGGAAATTTTCTGACGTGACCCTATAAGTAGTCCACACCACCACAGCCCCACCCTGGTTGGGACTGAGGTGAGCAAATTTTAAGAATAGGCTTATTTAAAATTTGCTCACCTCAGTCCCAACCAGGGTGGGGCTGTGGTGGTGTGGACTACTTATAGGGCCACGTCAGAAAATTTCTCAATCCGCCTCTGATTTTGCGAGCTACTAGTAATTAAAAATTTATAAACAAGCCCATGCAAAGAAAAAGCAAACAATCCAGCCGTAGTGGAGTGAAGGAATACACATGAGTGACCTTTTAGGTTAATTGAGCAACATGGTTACCCATGTAAATCGGCCTACCTTCAATAATTTTGATATTTCAAAAACAATTTAAATTTCCAAAGTTTTCTCCTCAATAATTACTGATTACAGACAAATATAATGAGAAATGTAGCCTCTGATAGTAAATGGTTTGTCCTCAAACACGATGGAAATAGACCACTCGCTCTACCGAGTGGTCTAAAATTAGAGTAAAATAATAAAAAATAATTATTGAATTATTTATTTTCTTAGGCCTAGGCCTATATCATTTCTTAAAATTTAGTCGGTCTTTGTATTTGTCTTGGAGATAAATCATTGTTGGAGAAAAGCAAAAGACTGGCATGTGTTCCATATTTATAGCAGCATATTGAATAATTTGAGATTAAAATTATTCTGATAACAGATATGAAGCAAGGATAATCAGTATTTATTCCTAAGATAATGTTACAAGTTGATAAGTTGTAGATTTATCAGAAATTTAAAAAAAAAAAAAAAAAAAAAAAAAAAAAAAAAAAAATCTTCACGCCAGAGTGGTTCAACTTTTGTACATGGAAATAGAAAATGTTCAATACTGTATAATCAATTTTGCCTCCATGTTCTTATTGTAGATACCGACATTTGAGTGGGACGAACTTAGACAGCAAAGGATACTCGGAGCTTTCTATTATGGTTATGCTGTCATGCCGATACCAGGAGGTTGGTTGGCCAGAAAGAAAGGCGGAAAGCGTGTGATGGTATTTGCAGTGCTTTGGACAAGTTTACTTACAGCCTTGATACCATGGGCAGCGGGAGTCAGTTCTGGACTACTAATAGTTCTACGTATTTTAGACGGCTTAGGACAGGTTTGAAAATTACTCATTAGTTCCATAATATTGTGTATTCTAAAATAGGCATAGTCTAGACATATTCGTGGTAAATTTATATATATATATATAATATTATATATATATTATATATATATAATATGTATATATATATATATAGGC